TGAGTACCAGATCACGAGCAAGGAATGGAATTTCGTTCGCTCAGCTGCCTCGAAAATGCCTGGCCGGAAATGCTTTGGTAACAGTTCCTTCAATTCGTCGTATTTCAGTTGTATTGGTGACTCTGGGAATGCCAAATTTTTAATCAATGCTTAAGCAGTAAGAAAATGTGCCGTCTCCCTCTCTTGCGGGTGAGATACTAAATCTCAAACCGCTACAAATGATCTTCCACATAACGTGAATTCGAATGAATATTGTGAATTTCCAAATTGCAGGTGTCCATAATGAGATAGAAAACTAACCGTGACACCAACTGTGATAATCTGTATTTGGTATCGAAACTCGAATCGTAATAAATCCGCGCAGTTAAGCTCCAACCGAACTAGTACGCAGTATGAAATAAAACAACAGGGTATTCGAAGTGGAATCATATTACGCGCCGAAATTGTACAAAGCAATCGATTATGTAAAGAAACAAGAATGTTCATTTTATATACAATCATCAAACTGTTGAGTGACGCTTTTCTGTAGCATTTTCTGAGGATCTTAGGTAACCGTTTCTAAGCTATTTAAGGGTTTTACAGGGCAGCCTTGAGGGCATAGATACAGATAATATTTTGTGCATCATGAGTGATATTCAACATATTCAAGACAGAACGAACCGCCTTCTGAGGCTTTATTATGTAATCATGACTTCTTATACACTATTGCCCGCTTGTATTTTTTAGTGTCTAGACTAACGATGTCCACGAATACGTACGTTGAGCAACGGACGAGGGAACGAACCAAAGAGAAAATGACTGATAGCACGAAACTTCAAAGACGGTTGTATTGCTATAAACTACAGAGCAGGGAGAGAAGCTTTCAGGTGAGTAAGTGCGCAGAAAGCAAAAGTCAACGGACAGCAAACAATTAGGTGGGCTTGATCGGGTTCAAATATGGGAACGGTACATGCGAGGGAAGGGTTGATGCTGTCACTAAAATTTTGATGTTTTACATGGATAAAGAGGCATCACAGCTGCACTTAGTTGTATTTGTGCACAAAAAATCTGGTAAATGGCATTTCACCCACAGTTATTTGTGACTAGTGGTGTGAGAGTTCAAATCTCTCACAGGATGATGGATGTATACAACTGATGAGCTCTAACAAGAGCAAAACTCGAGTCTAATAGTTTCAAGTTTATGGTTGAATGGATGAGCTGAAGATTGTGCGTGAAGGTGAAGTTCGACAGATAGTCAGTCAAATCAGTCAGCATATGTTAATCTAGGAATAAAGACGTTCATACATGGGTAAAACAGTTTATATGGTATCGACAATCTAGGATACATAGGTATGTAGCTGATCTCACTTTGGTCCACACGATGTTGACGGTAGCTTGCCAGTTTGACAAGGTTAAACTTGCGCTGGTGAGTCCCAAATATTCCCCTCTAGTTCTTGTTTGATAGATCTCAATTAATGATAACAGGCTGGAGCAATCGGAGCTCAAAGTCTGTCATTTCACAAGAGTTATTCGATATTTCTTTTCTTCAAGATCATTCGATTTCCTTCTGCGTATCTTACCTCATGAAATGGTACCCAGTCCGTACAGCCGTCCTATTCGAGTCCTATCCGAGTCCCATGAGAGTCCCGTTGGATTCCGTTTGCACCATAAACGGGACTCCAATAAAACTCGTATGGGACTCCAATGGGACTCGAATGAGACTCGGATAGGACTCTATGGAACGGCTCCCAGAAAGAATACCTTACATTCTATTAAGCGTTGCTTACATTTCTTCAAGCTCGCACATGCTTACTTATTTACGAACTACATCATATTTATCTAAATTTGATTCCTACAAATGTCAGTTTATCGTGCATCATCCTAATCGTTGAATAACAAAATTCGCGTATGACGTTTACAACCCGAACCCCCTATTTTAGTGTGAGAAGTAATACAAAGGGCACACTGAAATGTACGTTTGACATAAACGTTGTACAGGATTTACTCATTGGTCATCATACAAATCTTCTGGTTGGTTTTCTTTGTTGCCCTTTCTTCTGTGTGTCTTTTCCTGAGCCTTTTGAATCCATATTTATATTAGCACACATACGTTGAGATGAGTTTCACCCGGGAAGTTCTTTTTTCATGGTGTAATCTATATGGTGGTACACAGTTAGATAATACAGCACGCTTACTGACCACCAACCTTGCAAGATAAGTAGATTCCATCCCATACCTGCTGTTAGTGCCAAACATACGAGTGTAAAACTAGTTTATTTAAAAAAACTGCGAGCTCATTTCACCGCTACTAAAATACACAATTTCAATGGTTTTCAGTATTTAATTTATCATTCCAGTAATTTATTCGATTCATTTTTCGTATTACATTAAAAGTGAGTATGTACAGTCCCGAAGGGACCCAGATAGATCTCCAATGGGACGGTGATTACTGCAGTAGTCCCGGCGGGACTAGAATAGGACTCAAACAGGACGGTCAACCGTCCCACTGTGCGGACAGGGTACATCACATGATGCAGATTAATTATTGTACCCTGTCTGCAGAACCTGTCCCGTCTCCACTGATTTTTGAATTTTGAAACCTTCGCAATGCCTGTTTCACCGTATTGATTCTTCTGATGTTTATCTTTGAAAATTATTCTAAAATCGTTTGCTCACATTTAAATGCACACAAATAAACTCTTCCCCAATGTCCACATTTTGTGAATGTCAACAGCGATCCGAATGACAAAATGTTCTTTTCTTTGTAAGTTAATATAATTGACACAAAGAAAAAGACCTTTGTTTTACATCTACTGCTCCCGCTGGATTTTGTGTAAATTATACGTATTTTGCTGAAGGTATTATGCTACAAAGCCCCAGGTAAATGTGGATAAGTCTAATGTTGCATGAGTGTAATAGTGATTTGATTCAACTTCAAGGAAACATTTTGTGATGTAGAGCAGATGAAGTATGAACTGTAGATCTAAAATGCACTGGACGACTGTTTCGACCTGGTTGGGTCTCATCAGCAGTGCGAATCCACTGAACCAAATGTGGATCGAACCCAGGAGCTCACCATCAGAACAAAAGTATGCTACCCACTCGGCCACCGGGCAGCGGATCAAACTGTTTTTCATGTTCTATTTAACCGATGTAGCACAACCCACCTTTGCGAGCTTGCTGTGGGTATCGCGCCTCTATCATCTCAGGAATAGCCTCTGGGCTTAGGACTATGTTGGAAACTTTCACAACCTGACTACTCGCACTGCTGACGAGACCCAACAAGGTCGAAACAGCTGTACAGTGCTTCCTAGCTCTTCGATTCATGCTTCACTTGCTCCATACAAGACAAATTTCTGCCGTGAAATTCTGATGTTGTTGATTGCATTCTGAGCTGTAAGGTGTGGGGGTTTAGGACGATACATTTTGAGGACATACACCGTAGTCGGCCTGAGAGATGGCGATAAATGCTGTATTTTTATGGCAAATCTGAGTTTGGAGATCAAACCACAGGAATACACTTATCTTTCAAAGCCACTTTTATCCCCAAATTTTTCACGACTTATTTCATGAGAACAACTGCGCCTCACGTAGAACAGAGTCGCTGATCACTATTAAGACAATCGCGAGCAGAAAACTACATTTACCCCCAACGTATTAATCCTTGAAGTATCTAGTACAAAGTTATCAATCTTTGGAAAATCATGGATAATGGTGAGTTATTTGTATTGCCAAATACCTCACTCACTAAATCATTAGGATCGCACAGATGTAATCAGGCTGTGAAGTAATCTAACAAGGTTATGGAACCATGCGATGAAACTGAACAACAAGGATGACAGGTTGTTGACATAAGAGTCTAATTGTCAATCCGGAAACTGCAGAGAAAAAATGGGATTTCTGTTAGCCGGTGAATGAGTTCAAATTTGACCTTGTTATTCAGGTGAATCCCTGTTAATACTTTCATTATAACTTTGTTAAGCGTCTGTTTCAATGGCTGAAATATGTTGGCCATTGTATCTGGTTCAAAGGAATCAGTATTATTCGAGGAAAGCTCGGACTGGAATGGAATTTTCTCGGGCTCTTGGAGGCTTAGACTGAGCTCATTCATAATTGATGGCAACATTCACACATGAGCGTGGTGACCGATTTATTGATCCTTCTTGACGTGACTTAATTCCTTACCCAGCCTAGCTAGGTCAATTACTCCCGGGGTCGTTCATTGCCATCTAAAACTCACCCGATCAACAGTCAAGGACATTATGTACCGGGGTGGGACTAAAAGTGGGGAGGGACGAACATTCAATCCCACCCCACCGAAACTTGACGTGTGACGGCTGGAGCATCAATCACTTTGTAGGGTTTCCCTGTAGAATGCGATTGGTGCGATTTATTTCAATCAATGATGGATTCATTTGAGGTTACATTTGTTTCACCAGAAGCTGAAATGTCAGTTGAAATATAACCACCACTCACAAAATTATAAAAAATAACAAAGTTTTGTTCCATTCCTGACAGATTCATCTCATTATGTTGTTCGAGAAAGAATAACAACCTGATAGTGACAATAGTGAATGTTTTTCTGACCAGGAGTTGTTGGTATCTATTTGGAACATAACATTGAATTTGTCATGTAATCAGTACAAACTTTATTGATTTCGGAAGAAAAATCGGATAGAACCACCCTGCTAAATAAAAAAGAATTTTGACTCATCAGTTTTGGTGAGCACGGTTGAGAAATATCGAAGAAAGATCACATTCTATAAAAAAAAGTAATATTTCGCTGAGATTTGGTCTGCAACGGCCATTCGGCCAGTAAAACACAAAAGCAGCTCAGACAATATAGACTTCAAATATTGTTATCCTATTCGAGTCCCAATGAACATGATTACAGCAGACACTTTCTTTGCACACTAGAAAACCCTGAGCATCATTATCGTAAATAACAGTAGCGTTGCTCTACCGTCATGGCTCCTAAAGTTGTATCTGACAAAGCTGCTAAGTAGGCTTCAAATGGAGAAACCCCTAAGGTGGACAAGAACAAGAAGAGGATGAAGAAGGAGAGCTACGCGATCTACATCTACAAGGTGTTACGTCAAGTTCATCCTGACACCGGTATCTCCTCGAAGGCGATCTGGATCATGAGCTCATTTGTGAACGATATTTTCGAGCGGACTGCCGCTGATTCGAGCAGTTTTGCCAAATACAACAAGCGGTCTACCATCACGAGCAGATAAATCTAAACTGCTATTCGTCTATTGCTGCCCGGTGAACTTGCGACGCATACCGTTTCTGAGGGCACGGAGGGGGTGACCAAGCACACTAGCACCAAGTAAAAAGCTTTACTTGATGTAATAGTTAACTCTTCCACTGCCTTTTTAGGGCCACATTCTTGCTGAGAATTCATGCTATTACTTGACTTGACTTGGATGACTTGACTAGTGGCATAAGCTCAGCAAATCACGAGCCTAGTTTAGCGGGCAACTGTTACAAAGCTTGACCATCGCTCCAGTAATATTTAATTGGAAGTGTTAGTGTCCCACTGGACCTTTTGGGTTCACGGCGTTCTATTTGCTTTGCCTTACGGGTCTATCTTTAACCGCGATCTACCAGTGAATCCTCGCCAACCGTACAGCCATTTTCCGGTCGTCGTCTGTCGCCCGCCAGGCCCCGTGTCGTTACCATCTGCGAGAACACGAGCTTGACGAGATTATCACGCAGCTCTGTCTACTCCGCTGTGCTACGAGATTACGGGGTACGTTTGCATCACACTGTGCTTCAGACCCAGGGCTTCCACACTGAGTTAATTACCCATCAAAACATCCTCGTCTCTCCGTTAGCGACAAGTTCTATTACAACGATAAACGAGGACATACAATTCGCGTTATCCTCAATAGAGACTCATGCTGCCTGTGAAGCGTACATGTAAACGAAAATGTCAGTTTATACTTTTAACTTGATCATACACTCCATATCTGTCAAATTGCTTTTTTCAGATATCGGCAATCCGTTTTGAGGATCTCAAATCCCACTGAGTGACTTTTCTTGAGGGGGTTGATCGAACCGGTGTGAACAGACCCTCAATTTAGATATATCTTCCAGTCTCCCTAATAGTGCAAACTGGGTGGCTTGGATCAAGCAGATTTTCGGTGATTATCAGACTCGCAAACGGCTCAGAAAACTCCTACCTCCCAAAATGAAGCCCAATGTATCCAATATCACACGGAAATTCCATCGTAAAATGCATTTAGACCTCAAAACATATTCTCGTCTCACATACTGACAGTTTTAGAACTTGCATATCCCGAAATCGAATCCATTTAGTTAACATTCAATGAACCGTAACTGAGTGTAATCAAAATCGTTTTCTCTCGGTCGTGGAGCTAGTTGCATCGGGCATGTTGCAAGTGATCGTTAGAGTTTTGTATGTACGGGGACGCTAATGTCAAATGATATTCGATGGCCAAGTTTGTGGACTTAATGCAAAAAAGAGCAACCTCAACACTCAAGAATTGTAACTGAAATTACAATTATAACTTAGGTAAGCGTACAGTCCACATTTCGATTAAAAGTTTACAAATTGGATAGAGGGAAGATAAGGAGAAGAAAAAAGCTAAATCCAAAAACTCTGAACAATGTAGGTGAAAATCTGTTCTTTTTCAACTAGAATACTTGCTAAAGAGGATAATGCAGATTTGTGATATATGTTTATTCTACGGAGATGGACCACAAACATGGTTGAATCTAGTTGACGGATAGAAACGGCAAGCAGTTAAATCTATGTGTATTGGGTGTATGGGTTTGATAAGAATGTTATGCGCAAAACTAACAAAGCAGTTTAAAATCTTTCGTTATAAGATTGGGCGTGAGAACAGGTGAACAATAAAGTAAAACGCTGAAAACATACCGGTAGACAAATTTGGAGTTAATGGATTGTTAAATACGAAACAACCAAGCTTGGGGCTTCTAGTTCCCCAGAGAAGTAATTAGCAAGTCAAGCTAATACCTGCCTGGGACAACCAAAGTTCTCCAGTTTACGAAGAACGTGGGAATGATGAATGGAATCAAAAGCAGATGAGTAGTCTAGACGTGCACAACTTGCAGATTTTTCACGGTCATTCAGTGGTTCCGTAAATTTATGTACTAGTGAGGAAAATAAATCGAGCGTGTATCTGTTTGGTTTGTGGGCAAAGTCATGAGAATCGTAAGGGATAACAAGTGAGGACTGAATGCGCGTAGAGAAAAACACGTTGTGCTAGTTTAAGACCTACAAAAGTCAACCAGATAGAACGGAGGCTTTTGGTTAGGACGGATTTGGGAATGGGAACAAGCGCTACCGGTTTCCAACAACTTAGAGCTGAATTTTAAGAAAGAGTATAAAAATGAAGTTAACACTTAACTGAGAGAATGGGCTAAATATCTAAGAAGGGAAGATGAAAGACCATCAGGATTGACACTAAAAGTGTCTTTGATTGTACGCAGAAGCTCGCAATTTTTTAAAATTTCTAAGCGGTCTCTACCTGAATGGTATCATCCAGAACAAATGGTGTGATGACATCACTTGATCAGTGGATAAAAGCTGCATTAACACTGTCCAAACAAGTTGAATAATCCGGAGGTCTGACTTCCAGTCCTACGCGGCAGTTTTATAACCTGACAAATTTGCCTGATGTTGTTAAAGCGTAGAAGCAAAAGAGTGAATTAGGGTAACAAAATGTTTATAAAAATCAAGTTTCAAATGATTTAGAAACAGCTGATGAGTTGCTTACAATATGAATTATGGTTGTGAAAATCATTGAAAGCACGAAGCTGTCTATGAAACCTATTTCATAATAGAGATAAAACCATGGGAAAGGAAATGCGACAAACAAACTGGTTTTGGGGGAATCCAATATTTCTGAGCCTTTTCAAATGGACAGTAACACCTCTTATGATGTAAAGAACTCTAAAGTTTTAAAATAGTTGAGTATAATCATTTCTCTCCTACGTTTGTAGTTCTCTTCGTTCAACTATCTGGAACTTGCTTGACAAGCCTGTAAAATGCATGCTCACATGTGTCGTGAAAACCGGATTATTTTTTCGTTTTTGCTCAACTTTTCAATCTATTTACAATTCACGTTTGTTCCACTGAGGAACGTGATTATCACAATTGTGTTTTCTGTCACTGTGCCTTCGTTTCCGGTCAAATACCGTACAGTCTCTTCCCTGTTCTGATACTCACACTTCAAACACTCACTTACTTCAGTTCATTTGTCTCTCTGGCCCAATCAGCACAAATTTTATTTTCCTGAGATTCCAGCTAAAACCCGAGCTCTTCAGTCTAGTTCTCCCGCCTCATAGGCATTAAGTATTTAAGTAGTAGTAGTAGTTATTGTAGTAGTAAGTATTTGATCTAATTTTTCCTTACTTATAAACACAATCTTCGTCTTTATCTTTGATTGAATGGAACTGACCATTCTTCAGACTTCACCTTCACGAGCAAAACTGGAGTCTAGTGCTTCCGAGTGTATGGTTGACTGGAAGAGCTGACATTAGGTTTGAAGGTGAAGTTTGAACGATGGTCAGTTCCAATCAATCGATATCAATCATCTCACAGCACTAATCACAAGTATCCGTTAGTTAAAAGTGAATTCAGCTTTTATCTTTAATTTAATTCCTTTTATTCAGCATACGATTATACAATTTTCAGAAAGAATGAAGTGGTCTATCAAAGGGCTTCCATACAACACACAGAAAGTGGGAAAGCAACGTGGTGGTGGTGTAGTTCGAACACAAGTCCTCTGAGGCGATGATTTAGTGACCTTACACTTCGGCCACTACTGCCCGTCCATTCTCACATATATGTGTATATAATCCCTGAGTTTCCCCGCGCATGCCAAGTTGTACTTGATGTGCCGTTTAAAACCTTTCACATCATAGACTGGAGTAGCACCTGCAAATCCGGAAACAAAATTTGGTGGTTCAAGGCAGCTATTCAGTTTGAGCATGTGACCCTCGCACTAGTGATTCACGGTTTACGGCTGCCAAGCTGCAGAGAGAGAGAGTCTGTCGTTTTCTGATCCATTGAACCTTTATCTAAACCTTGTTAAACGTGACTTTTTACTGGGATCTCTGGTCCCTACTCTAACACTCAAGCTCACCACTGATCGATTGCTTGTTTTTCATCAGCTTCCTTTCGTCTGTTTATCATCGAAAACAAAGGATTAGAATTCACAAGGATGCAAAACTCACGGTATGTGTTGAGCTTTACTCAGTTCATTTACAATGCTTTAAATTTACCATTTTACAATCTCAATTTGATCAGTGGCTGTTGCAATTTATTTGGTATTACATTTTCTAATGTTGTGAATCGGTTGATAACACTGTCATTCACTCTCGACCGTATTCATGTACCCCGTTCTGGATCATTGTTGTTCGTGCTTTTAGTCAGATCACTGTCTGCCTGAGCATTATGCAAAAAATAAATTAAGCAAAGCAATCGGACGTTCTAGAATTCAAAAGCCTCCGAACTCTTATCATTGCTATAAAGTAGAATTGGTTTGACCGTGGCAAATTTTGGTCACAGTTTACAGTGAAAACAAATCCATTTTCCCATATGACAAATGTCCCTGGTGATCAATATTGCCCCGGATCCAAACAACCACAAAATGAAAAAGTTCATTTCATTGATGTACAGAATATTCTTATCTCCTGGACGAAAATCTTTAATCATAGAGTTCTGTTTGGAATTCCAACTGAATATAGGGTGACTTTCTTAAACAAAAAGGATTTTAGCATCTGATGGGGGTTTTTGAGGGAAAAATGAACCCAAATGTTCATGGATCAGTGATGGCCTGGTGGTAGCATCACAAAATGATCACCCCGGAGGACGAGTGTTCGAATCCCATCACCACCATCTGACTTTTCTCATTGTGAGTTAAATGACAGCCCTTTGATTGTCCGCTTCTCCCTTCCTGAAAATTGTTTCTTTGTGTATTCAATAAAAAGTAGGCGAAATAGAAAAAAAACGGGCAAAGTGGAGTCCAAGGTGCGAAGAAGTGTGCGGTAAATACCACATTTCCGGTCGATCCTACTGAGTACAGTGGACAAAATGATAGGAGTATCAATTTGTCCATCTTAGAATGAATTCTAATATTGGGTGAAAGAAAAAAAGCTGTCCGAACTTTAAGCAGATCGTCACAAACGTTTGTGGTATGGAATTCGCTGACATGAAAACATAAATAAAAAGCACATCTGTGTGATAGACCAGATACACTGACGACACTGGAGGATTTCATTTATTGCAAAAAATAAAATTTAGACAGGGCAAAGGAAAAGTGAAATGCCTGGTTTTAGC